TGGCGGGCACCGGCGCGGCCGCGGGCCGAGCCGCGGATCGAGACACGCTCCGTCCTCCCCGCGCCATCTTCGCTCTCCTCTTCTCAGTGCGCCCGCCCCGCGTGCCGCCTTAAGAAGGGTCGCCGTCGCCACGTGACGCCGTGCGCATGCTCGGTCAGGCGGCCGAAGTCGCGGCCCCGCCCCGCTGAGGGAAGGAGGGGATCCCGCCGGGCGCATGCGCAGAAAGGGCGAGGCGGGTGTCTCCAGGCTCCTCCCACCCGCCCCCGCGAGGTCCGTGCGCCGCCAGGGGGCGCGCGAGGCCCGTCCGGCCCTCAGGGAGCGGGGAGGGGGCGCGGCCGGGGGTCATTAAATTACGGGATTATCGAATCAGTGAATCAATAAATCGTTAAAAGGCCTTTGAGATCATCGACTCCAAGCGTTCACCCCGCATAGCCAAGGCCACCGATAACCCGCGTCCCCGGCTGCCCCACCCACACGATTCCGGAACACCCCCAGCCTGTGCCAGGGCTGGACAACCCTTTCAGTGAAGAATTATTTCCTCATATCCAATTGAAACCTCCCCTGGCATAACTTGAGGCCAATTCCTCTTGTCCTGTTGCTTCTTATTTGGGAGAAGAGGCTGCCCCCCACCTGGCTCCATCCTCCTTTCAGGGAGGAGCAGGAATGATTTATACTCAGTGTGATGGCTTCTGCTTCCGTAGCAGACACTGACCTCGGTTCTGCTCACTCCAAAGCTGGAGTTGACTTTGCATTTCAGTCTGTCCCACTGTGCTGCTCTAGTCCAAATGGGACAACAAACATGTTCAGGGATGAACTGGTACCTCGCTGTGCCCAAATTCAGCACCTGCCAGTGAAGCCACTCACCATCTCTAGGGTCACTGGCCCTAATGTGGCTTAGCCTGTTTTTGTGGTCCCACCACTGGGTGAGGGCCATGACTGCTGCAGAGCCACGGAGGGACAGAGCTCTGTGCACTCCAGGCAGGGCAGGAAGGGAGGGAGCAGGGAGGCACTGCTGGCAGGGCATGAGCTGAGCACAGCAGCTCTCCCATGATGGTTAATGAAGGTGTTCTGACAAAGGAGAGCTGCAAGAAGGGCAATGTGGTGGCTTTGCAAATGCTCAGAGTGTGCTTCTCCCAGGTGTGGAGCAGAGCATGAAGGGGCTTGTTGGGAATGGGCATGGAGAGGGCCTCTGTTGCATGGGAGACAATGGGTGGAGGAGAGGTGGATAATGATGGGCTGGGAGAGGGAAGATGAGCACTCCACAATTGGGGCAGAAAAAAGAGGGTGCCAGGGAGGAGCTCAGAGAGGAATGATGTGGTCTAAGCCATTGGCCAGCACAACAATTTTTGCAGCAGCCCTCTGGATACAAACCAGGAGATCAAGGAACACTTTGCAAGGCGTGGACATTGTTGGGCAGTAGGAATCCATGAGAAGATGATGATGAGCCCTCAAATCACAAACAGACAGGCTGGATGACGCCAGTTTTACCTTCAAACCAATTTCCTGACAATCATCTCTTCCCTGGCACCCCCGCTGGTCTTCAGGGCCTCTGTTGGTCCGTGTCGGTTCAACATCTCCCCAAAATGGCCCTTCTTGCCAGCTCCATCTTTGGATGTTCCTTATGCCCTGTGGAGTGAAAGGAATTTCCAAAATTTAGAAGGATCCAGAAGTTGTCCAGGAAAAAAAAATCCCAGCTATGTTATGTCTCCAGGGCTGTGTTCGTATATTCAGCACGTTATGAAAACCAGCTCTTTGGGCTGGTTCATTGACTGGCAGGAATTAGAGAGCTAAGTCACTGCAGGACTGGCAATTAGCTGCTGTGTAAGTGTTTTTGTAGAGTCAAATTTCCAGCACGAGGGGAAGAGAAAAGCATTTGTAAAGCAAGCAGCCCCCTCTGTGCAGGAGCTGGGCGGGCGGGGGAAGCTGCAGCTCCCGAGGAGAGAAAGTGATTGTGCCTCAAACAAACACCACTTCGGTCTCCTCCTCTGCAGGGTAACACCCCCAAATCCTTCCTCCCACAGCGCCTGCCCCAGGAGCTGTGCAGTTCTGCTTTCAGCTGGAATAGCAGCATTTTACATCTGGCATTTGCCTGTCTTTTCCCACTAATAGAGAGGGGGCCAAGCAACGGTAAAACCAGAGGAATGTGACTGGAAAGGCCCTGCCTCAGCAGCACCTGCACTTTTTCCTTTTCCCAGCCACGGGTCCTTTGAGGAGCAGGGTTCCCTTCCTTGTGCAGCCCCATCCCAATGAGCCACAAGCAGTTGTGGGCAAACAGATCTTAAAGGCAGGAGAGAGAAAAGGCAGGAGGGAAGACAAGGGTGACCTCAGAGAGCCCCTTGGTGCAAGAAACCCCCGGGGAGAGAGCTCAGCTCTCTGCCATCAGCATGTGAGCGTGGACGAGCCATCAGGGCGTGGGGCTGGGGCCGACACACCACGGGCTCCTTTCCCTTCTTGGTTTTTCCTGGCCATAGGAAGAAGCTCAGCATGTGCCGGGGGAGGAGAGGACAGACTTGCAGGGGGTGCAGGGAATGCCAGAGCTCCAGCCATAAGAAATCAGGATTCATTAGTTCCACCACGCGCAGAACAACTTGCTGAAGGAGCCCGGGTTTCAAGCTGAGCGCGTCCCTCTAAGCTGCGTCTGGGGGACCCTTTGATTTGGTTAATTAGACACAAAGTTTTTCTGTGCAGTGGGAGGCCGGGTATGTGCTGAGGAGCACAGCTACCCTGGGCTTACTAATGAGATAATTTATTGTGGCTGTCTGAGAGCCTGAGTGTACACAACTCCACCCGCACACACACCACCCACTGCAAGCCCTCTGCTCCCAGCTGGAGAGTCCTCAGCACCGGAGGTGGAAGTACTGTGGCAGCCCTGCCGAGGAGCCATCCTCCCGCTGAGGGACTGCTGCAGGAGGGCCCCGTTTGCATCTAAATATCCCTGCAACAGTTTTCTTCCCTGGCCAAACTTCCTATCTCCTCTGTTTTTCAGCCTAAATTTGATCTTTGTTTCAATCAAGTAGCTTCATTTCTGCCTCTCTCCGTTCCCCTGCTCCAGAAGATCCCTCCTTACATAGTTCGAGTGTTAGGGCTTGCCTGCACTTGAAGGTTGACTCTAGATTGAGGGACATATAAATCTGAAAGATAGTAACTAATTCCTGAATACTTCTGGAAAGATTGACTGAAACCCAGTAATTTCTGAATAACTCAGTGCACTGGCTGGCCAGTACCTCCCCTCCTGTTAGCAGCAGGAGCAGGTAGGACAAGGTTTGTAAAAAGCAGGTTCGTTTTTTTCCAACTGCTTTCTCCCCGTTGCTCTAAAAGCAGATCATAACCTCCCCCTTCAGAGTTTGCCTCACTTAAATCCTCACTCTGTCACCGCTGAAATGTGGCTACAAAGAGATCTAGGAATTCCCCAAGCATTTGAATCTCAAGGGGTTGTTTCACAGGTAAGGAATGCAACACTGGCCTCCCTGTGTCTCCTACCTGTCTCTGCCTCTCCGTGGGGCGACACCGCGGGTCTGTCTTTACCAGGCTGCAGTTTCACTGGGCGCTTGCTTAGGGGATGGTGACACCCAAAAGTGTCACTTTTCTGCAGAAAGCCCTCTCCACGCAGCCATGTCACGCTGTGGATCATCCCTGCCGGGTCCCTGCCACGGGCCACCACCAGCAGGTATCCATCTGGGGATGCTGCTGGAGCCTCCTGCCTCCCGAGCTGCAGGTTTGCGCTTGGGGAACCCTAATTAGTGCATGCAGGGGCAGATCTGGGCAGTGCTCTGGGTGTACCTGAATTTAAGTTATTTAGGTTAACAGCAAATTGCACGGGATGATTGCTCGGGGATCTGGGCAAACTATTCAAAGCAGAAGAAAGTGTCTGATGAATTAGCCAATATTTTTGTTTGTGGACAATCCCCAAGAAAGAAAGAAAGAAACCAAACCTCCAGTTCTTACCAATGTGTTTGCTACTCAAAATTGCTCCATGAATCATTTAAGACTGAATGTATGCAGTGAGTGGGTTTCTTGTGTCCTCCTTTTATTTTCATCTTTGAGCTGTGACTGGTCCTAATTCCGCATGTGCCAAGTGGCTGATTTCAGTCCTCAGGTTCACACGGAGCTCTTGAGCCAGATGGAAATATGCAAGCACTACTTTTTTTATCCTATAAAAAAAGCAGAGTTGCCACTGAGAAATAATAATAATTTTTTAAAAATCAGGCAAGTTCCACGAAATAGAATTCACAGATTTTTCACGAACAATTGGCACCCTTCCCACAGTCCTGCCTCACCACCATTCCCCAAGGGATAATAAAGCAGCAGTGTCACAGGTAGGCGATATTTGATGGCACCCCCACGGCAGTGTGGCACAGAGCCCTGTCTCACTCTGGGTGTCACGAGCCTTGTACACACTCCCCCGACAGACAGATTCCTGCTGTCTCAGTCTCTTTTTAGCCAGGATACAATGCCTGAAACAAAGTGA